ACTTTAAAAAATAATTGTCAATCTGGCAACACCGCAGACATCTCATCATCGTCAACTATTTTGTGGACGGTTTGGCCTGTCTCCCTATAATTTGATCGCATTGTCTGCCTTCTCTTGGTACAGCTACTCTTTGATAGTACTATGTTAGATGAATGCAACAGAATTCTTGCTATCGCTCTTCTAACCCAGTACTGTGTTGGGTCCAAATAAAAGACCAGTTCGTAGGTCGGAACAATTTCAATTACTGGTAACGCCGTACAGTTGTATTCGGTGACCCAATAATAGCCATTTGTTCCGCCGCTAAAAGCGTCATACATATTGCAACGGAAACTAATAAAGCGATTTTAAGTTCCGCGAGAAGCCACCTGATGTCTGTCCATTAATTTCGGCGAGTCAATTATTTGGTTAAGTAATTTCGTACGTCTCTGTGAAGCGCATAACAAAAAAGTAATACTCTTGCCGCTCACCCCTAATAATTCACGTGCACAATATTATTCCGGCAGTGGCGGCTAGACAGCTGCTACCCCCTGATAAGTTTCAAGCCGCTTGGATTTAAATAAACCGGGCACAAAAATGGCGTCAGGTAGAATGTCCGATCCCAATCCTTGTCGCTTGGCCACTATATGAAAAAATGACAAAAGGAGATACAACCGTTATTTAACTTATTTTCAGTAACAACTGACGGATTTTAATTTTTTGAAGCTCGTCCTACTCCTTTTTTTGATGGCAAACATATTTTGTAATAAGATAGCGCAAAGCGCCATCTATCACACCACTGCGAAAAGCGCATAGCTGCTATTAGTTGGAACTTGGGCGACATATAATGACACACGTGATCCTAGTGACTGTTCCTAGACTAATAGCAATACGTTCATGGTAAGACTATACTTTAGCGCATATCGCAAATACTTCAATTCTTACTTTAGAATGAAAGATTAGGATGTAACTTTTACGGAAATATAATTTTTTCTTTAAGGAATCCTCTGCTTGCTATTTTATCGAACTTCGAAGTTGCATTTTTGGTGGTAACACTCTAGAATAGATTACTGTTTTATATGCTGTCTTTTTTTGCTTTTTGTACAAAAGGATGCTCTAAATTATAAGAATGTAACATACATTGTATAGTACTGAGGAAAATAGATGTGAAACTGTAAAAAATCGTTGTTTTTTTGCAAAAAAAGGTTCAAAACCAGACGTGTTATTACACATTAGCTTATTAGCTTAAACAACAGATCAACATACATGCGTAAATGATGGTATTCACTTGGTAAACTGTGTAGAGGTGTTTTGTAATTTTTCAATGTCTTCTTGAAATTCCTTAACCATCTTTTTCGCGTATTTTCAATCAGATCAAAGTTTTTGCGTTTATAAGGAATATTTGAAAGTACAACCAATTCTCAATGGTTATTTTATAACGCTCATTTCTTGGCAGATAAAATAAATGATATCCATTGTTGCCAAGTTGTAGCATTTTTGGGAGAAATACGTAATTAGAAATGAGGTTATTTGCAAAATAAAAGTCTTACTTTATTGTAAATGGCTTGTTTTATGAAAATTTGTCCCAATATTTACCGAAAACTAGATGAAATTTTGAACAGCATGTCGTCAAGCAATATATCAACACACGGTTGCAACAATTTGATAGCGGAATGAAATTTCAACAAGTAAAAGGACAGTAGAATCATTTTACGAGGATGTCTCAGACGGATTTTGAATATCTTCTCACGTTAATTGGACCACAAATACGAAAACGAGATACAAAATGGTGAGCTCTGCCATCACAGTGCAAGAAGGAATTGCAGTCACGGTGCGATTTTTAGCGACCGGTGATTCATATAGTATACTAAGTGACATATAAATCCGAACACCCAGTTTAAATGGTTTTATTTTAATAAAAGTTGGTGAATGTATTTATCTTACTGTAAATAACAAGTGAAAAAATTTTCAGCCTTATCAGTTGGATATTCCGGTTTTTATACTGCTTTTTTTTAATTCACTAACGCTCTAAAAATGAATATTTCAGCCGCAGTAAAGAATCAGCGTTGGCGGATTTTGGTTCTTGACATCCTTTACGATCGGTTACGATGCCTAGAGTACGGAGACCTGTACGATTTCGTCAACTTAGTGAGTTTGATAGGGGCCGTATAGTGGGACTTCGGGAAGCTGGACTTTCTTTTCGGGCAATTGCAGTTAGAGTGCAAAGAAGTGTAGACACTGTGGTTAGGTGTTGTCAGGCATGGCTTCGAGAAGGCCGTACGCAAAGAGCAAGGGACACTGGACGCCGCCGTAGAACAACAGATCGTGAAGATCGCCGCCTAAGATTATTGGCCTTAAGGAACCGTTTCTCCACTACCAGGTCCATTGCAAATGAATGGTTTGCAGAACACGGAAGACCTATTGGCATGCGAAGTGTTTACCGACGAATGAGAAGTTTTGGCTTGTTTTCATACCGGCCACACTGGGTCCTCCCTTTAACTCGAGAACACCGACGTAATCGCCTTGAGTGGTGCAGACAACGGTCACTCTGGGATCAGGAATGGAACAGTATTGTCTTTAGTGACGAGTCTCGATTTTGTTTAGGCATGCACGATGGTCGTGCCAGGGTTAGAAGGCGACGTGGTGAAAGGAGGAATCCACAGTTTTTTGTTGAAAGACAGAGGTAACACGAACGCGCAGCGTTATATCCACGAAGTTCTAGAACCCCATCTTTTACCCTATCTTGACACCCTGGCAGATCCAACTTTCCAACAAGATAATGCCCGACCACATGTTGCAAGAGTCACAATAGACTTCTTTCAACATAATGATGTCACATTGTTATCATGGCCACCAAGATCTCCCGACTTATCCCAAATTGAGCACGTGTGGGATATGATGGGTAGGAGATTGCTCAATTTGCAACGTCCTCCTCAGACTCTAGAAGCACTTCGAGAGGAGTTGGTGGTTGTCTGGAATGAGATACCACAGGAGGACATTGACCACCTGATCAGAAGCATACCTAGGCGCGTAGGAGAATGCGTAGCACATCAGGGTGCACCCACACATTATTAAAGGTCAAAGGGCTTTAAAGCAGTGCAATCATTTTGAAAAGTTTATCAATTACTTATTATGCTCCATTAAGTACTTATACAAAATTTCATTAAAATAAAATCATTTAAACTGGGTGTTCGGATTTATATGTCACTTAGTATAGTTTGCAATACATGTTTCGAATTTCAAAGCAATCGATCAGCTACATCATTCCAGAAGTTTATGAGGCATTGCTCGAAGTCTTAAAAGAAATTATGCAGGTAAGAAAAATAATTATTTTACTTCTAAGTACTTATACATTACAAAATAACACATTGGTGCTCACCGCACCGGTATGCCTGTCCAAACATGTGCAACCTCGTCGCGAGCCATTCCTTTGATGTTGCGCTGAAAAACCGATAGAGCCTGGATCGGGCCGAACGGCGTGCTGTAACGCTAATCAGGTTCGCGCTGCGCGGTTCGTCGCGTGGTTCGGTTCGCGGTGTTGTTACATATCTGTACATGGCTTAAGAAATCGTGGATCCTTAACACATTATGGAACCAGCTTCTGCATTCAGTTGACGAATCAAGCTGATCATTTTACCAGTTAAGTAGCCCACACATTGTGAGATCTTCCTCGCGACATGCCGCGAGACCAAGATCTCTGATAACAAATCTCATGGTGTGTGTTGCGGTATCGATAATTTTTGTATCGTGTGATACCGTCTCAACGAGACCGACGCGGGCGGGAGACTGAGACTTGCCGCGAGGAAAAATCTGACCAGTCTCAACGTGTGTGCCAAAGTCGCATGAATCTCGTGAGATTTCGTTGTTCCGAAATTGTTATAATTATTATATGTAATAAAGAAGATGAATAAGGAAAGAGAATTTTGGGAAGAATTTATTGAAATGTACAGGTGCAACCCATGTTTATGGGATGTGAAAGCTAAAACGTATATGGATAGAAATTTGAAAAACTCAGCGTTAGATAGACTGGTGGAAAAATGCAAAGAAATATATCCAATGGCAAATAGAGATTATGTCTCAAAAAAAATACATAACATGCGCTGTGCTTTTAGAAGAGAGCTGAAAAAAGTACAGAAGTCGAAGCCTACGGGTACACAAGCTGATGATGTATATGTACCCAGCCTTTGGTATTTTGACCTGTTAAGTTTTATTTCGGACACTGAAATCCCTAGAAAAGGAATTGAAACTATTACTAGCGAAGACGAAAGTCAAGAGAGTGAAATAACAGTAAGTAGTTTATTATTTTATTTAAGACATTTCAGTATAAAAACTTAATACTCTTTAAACGACCATCCTGTCCTGAAAATCGGTTGCTCCGCTGTTATTGAAATAATTTTTAAAATTATCTCGAATTTCTCTCGCAGACACATTTGAAGCACGCGCTATTCGTTGCAGAGGTATAAGTTCTCCTATTTCTCTCCACTGGCCAGGTATTATTTCTCCGGAATGTACGTCTTCAGAGTCTGCATACAATGGCGGTATATATCGATTTGAGCCATTTCGTGTTAAAAAGTTGTGTAATGCACAACTGGCTAATACTACAGCATCCACATGTCTTACATTTATGCTAATTATTGTGTGAAAAATTCTAAATCGTGAGGCCATAATACCAAATGCATTTTCTGATACTCTGCGTGCTCTACTGAGTCGGTAGTTAAACATTTTTTGTTCTCTTGTTAAATTTTTGTCTGGATATGGTTTCATTAAATTTTCAGTTAATGGAAAAGCCTGATCTCCAACAAATGTATATGGTAACATCACATTGGTTGCATGGGGTTCTGTCGGATCGGGCATACATAATTTTTTATTTATAAGCTTTTCATAAAACTTGGTTTCACTCAAAACTCCACCATCTGATACCCTACCATTGGTCCCACAATGAACCATTATAAATTCGTATTTTGCATTTGCAATTGCCATTAGCACAACACTAAAGTTTCCTTTATAATTATAATAATATGAACCACTGTTTCTAGGTTTTTTTATTTGTATGTGTTTTCCATCGATCGCACCCACGCAATTGGGAAATTGCCACAAACATTCGAACTCCTTTGCAACCCCGCGCCATTCTTCCTCGGAAGATGGAAACTGTAATAAAAAAGTAGTATTAAATTGTTTGAATTAATAATAATTATTTGTTTTAGAATCAAAACAATGTTCGAGATGAGGACAGTTATGATAACGCTTTTTCTCCTCCTGCTCACTCGGAATCTTTACCAAGTACTACTAGGCCAAGTTCATCGGCTTCAACATCAACTCCAACACTAGGAACTAAAATATTAAAAAGAAAAAAAGGAATGGAGGAGAAAAAAAATGAACTTGTGGAACTAGCTCATAGGGCTTTGTCTAAACCCCCTACATGTGCGGAACCTGAAAATCCCTGCGACATAGCAGGAAAAAAATTTGCTTCTGATTTAAAGCAAATGACATCTAATCAGAGAGTAATTGCAGAAAAGCTTATAAATGATGTAATGTACTACGGCAAACTGAATAAGTTAAATGAAAACTTTGAAGTACGACAGGCCCGCACCCATGTGGAACCGAGTAATACTTTTTCCAATATAGCTTATACAGTACAGCAATCTGAGCAGCAACCTCAACAACCAACTGCACAGGGAGATATTTATTCATATTATGAAAACTTCCAAGACTAGTTCTGCCACTGGAATATTACGTTAACTGTATTACTACTCGTTTACTGAATTATAAGTATTTTTTGACAGCATTAGCTAAGTTTAATGTTTAATATGTTTTGCATTTAAAATAATAAAAAGTATATTATAAAAACGTACCTTCAAATACTTTTCCTTTAAAGCGTTGTATATTGCCCAGCAAGTTTCTGGAATAATTTCACCCAGTAACTGTGGAGAAATAGCACAGGAAAATTTCAGATCTTCATAATTTCGACCAGTAGCTAAATATCTAAGAGTAACGACCAATCGCTCTTCAGCTGATACCGCTTCTCTTAATACAGTATTTTTCTTTTCAATGTCTGGCCGGATTAAATTTAAAAGAAAATTAAATTGTTTTTCGTTCATACGCAAATAGTTCAAAAAATCTTTGGGTTCTTTTTGCTGCAATTCTTTTAAAAGTGGCATGTGAGAGAACTTCTTCCTTTCAAGAAACCAATTCTTTGACCATTTTCTTTTTTCCTGTTTTTCCTCGAATAGTACCAAACCAATGGCAACACCAAGTGCAACTTTTTGTTTTTTTGAATATTCATGAAAGGCCATTTTATATTCACTCTCAAAAAAATAGCGAACTGTGTGATACCGTCTGCGATACTGTCTCAAGGTGTGGGGTGACGAGTGACTGGGGACTGACGTCTGCCGATATCATGAGACCTCGCCTCGCGACGTACCTCGAGGCAAGTCTCACAGTGTGTGGCTTACTTAAGGGACACTGAATATATATGCCAAGAATTATTAAAATCGGATAAACATACGTAGGTGTTTACCTTTTTTTTTTCACTCAGTAATACAAGCGAGGATACGCTGAAGTCACAATGCATTTCATTTGTTACCAAGGGTTAGAAATGCTTGCACGCCCCTGATACCCACCCCTAATATTTCACGTTGAGCATATTATTCAGGGCCCCCAGGTGCATGAATATGGCAACATTGTTCTTTTCCTTTTCCCCAGCCGGGCTCCAAGCGATATTTATGCTTCGCTTTATTGACCATATTGAAAAGATGCTGCACTATCTACATATTACCGTGGATTCTAGACAGCCATTACTAGTTATAAACTGGATCAACACCGTGCTACAGCTGTCACAGCTCTATATGGCATATACGAAGGGGATTCTATAGTATCAGTAAAGGTACGTTTCCAATACAACACCAAGGAATGCTTGAGGAGGAGCATTCTGATGGTAACGGGCATATGCGACATACTTGGAGATCGCTAGATCGTGGAAATTTTCTAGAACCGTTTCAGGTTGATAATCAACATTTAGGCCTCATAGATAATAATATAATATAATAATAATAATTCATTTTTTCTTGAGACAAACAAAGTTTGTTTAGAAATCGTCAAGAGATCATCTATACTTTGAAGTTGAGTCATTAATTTTCAGATAATGATTGTAGAAGGAAGATAAACCAAAATATGTGTGTAAAAATAAAAAAAAATGTTACCTTGTTTTATAAAGTATCCTCCCGACAAGTATTTCAGTGCGGACCTGTATTTGATCGTGAGGTCTTGGAGCACCGGCATGCCCTCCCCTGTGAGATCTTAAGTCACCTGATTCACGAGCCCGTTGTACTACATTAACAGAGGCACGAGGGGTTGGTTGCACTCGATTGGGAAACCGATCCGCATAAACATGTGCCATTTTTTATTTCGTTTGAGCCACGCAGCAAACACCACTATTCACTCACGCGTTACCGACTGACACATTGACTGAATAAAAACATCGTGATCAGCGTTTCAAATTCTTTCGCTTTTTTGTTTCCGATGCGATGAACCGATAAGGCGGATTATATCCGTTGTTGCCAAACACGAGCACATAATATTATTATTGAGACAGGGCGGTACTCAAACTTCTAAAGGGCTATAACTTTGTTACTTTAATTTTACCAGAAAAATTTTAAAGGAAAAAAACATTTCTTTTGATCAGATCTACTCACTGTTAAAATAAATGACTCAACTTCGAAGCCACCCTGTATACAGAGTTATAAGAAAACTATATTAAAACAAAATAATAAACAACATTTACACACTGATAAACTCACAGACATTATACAAACATTTATGTATTAAAAAGCCTTTCAAACAATACTTAAAGTGATTTTGATTTGTTATTCCTTGTATATCATTTGGAAGGATGTTAAAGATTTTAGGACCAAGTATATTTGGCGATTTATTCCTACTTTAAATTTAGAAAAATTGGAGTGTATATTATCACTCTGCCTTGTGGCAACTGTGTGTATTTCTTTGTTGAGAGTAAACTTGGTGTTATTCCGGAATACATATAACGCCAACTCGTGAATCGTCAGGGCAGGTACTGTTAAGATTTTATATTTTTTAAAAATGTCTTTACAACTGTGTGTGTTACTTACCCGCGCCATTGATCTAACAATCCGCTTGTGAGCAATAAAAACATGTTGTGCAGTAGCAGATCAGCCCCAAAGACAAATACCGCATCTGAGTCTGGATTCCACAAGGCCGTAGTATATTCCGAACAGCTGACTTTCAGAGAGAACCAAGCTTAAAATTTTAAACAAATAAGAGATAATAGTTAAGTTGCGATACCAGGTGATCGGAATGTACTCTGAAATTTAATTTATCGTCCGGAAATATTCCCAGAAACTTAACATCAGTTGTGAAGTTCAATTGGGTATTCTTATGTTTAACGTCAAGGATATTTATCTTTTTTTGTGGGTTATGGAACCTAATTAAATTGGTTTTGTCAGTATTCAAAGCAAAGCTTTCGATCGGGTTACTCATAATTTGCTATTAAGAAAGCTTGCTGACGTTGGTGTTCGTAGCACCCTTGTAAAGTGGGTTCCATCTTATTTGCGTTATAGGGAGTTCTTTGCGTGTATAAACAGGTATAAGTCGAAAATTGTTACTCCGACGTCGGAAGTTCCTCAGGGTAGCCACCTAGGTCCTCTGTTCTTCCTAATCTATATTAACGATATCGATCAATGTTTCAGCTATTGTCAATTCCTTCTTTACGCAGACGATTGAAAGATGTACCGTATAGTTGAAAACCTTATTTATTATATTATTGTCAGACTCGATGATTATTGTCAGAGAAATGATCTGCCACTCAATATTAATAAGTGTTTCTCAATTAGCTTTACCAAAAAAAGGAACGTATTACAGAATGTGTATCAGATAGATGATGTTAATATTAGTGCGGTGAGCACTATACGGGACCTGGGTGTTACACTTGATACGAAATGGAGCTTTAATAACCACATATATAAAACCATTAACAAGACCAATAAGATACTTGGCTTTATTAGGAGACAATCTGGATACTTTAATAACCCTGCTACCCTGGTATCACTATATTATACGTTTGTACATAGTAAGTAAGCTCTCATTCGCGTCTATTATTTGGAACCCACACTAGGAAGTCCATATAAGAAGGATTGAGTCTGTCAAACATAAGTTTCTACGGGTTTTGGCGTACGAGGCGAATATCAATATACATAATCATGATTATAGCTTGATAATGGAACGTTTTAAAATCTTACCTCTATTTGAGAGAAGGGTATTATCTGATTTGTGCTTTATTCGCCGAATCTTAAACAATCAAATTGATTGTTTTTACCTTTGAAGTTGAGTCATTAATTTTCAGATAATGATTGTAGAAGGAAGATAAACCAAAATATGTGTGTAAAAATAAAATAAAAAATTATAAAAAAATTTTACCTTGTTTTATAAAGTATCCTCCCGACAAGTATTTCAGTGCGGACCTGTATTTGATCGTGAGGTCTTGGAACACCGGCATGCCGTCACCTGATTCACGAGCCCGTTATACTACATTAGCAAAGGCATAAAAGGCATAATCCGCATAAACATGTGCCATTTTTTATTTCGTTTGAGCCACGCAACAGACACCACTATTCACTGACACTGACTGTATACAAATGAATAAAATAATTGTAAAAACATCGTTCCAAATTATTTCGCTTTTTTGTTTCCGATGCGATGAACCGATACGGCGGATTATATCCGTTGTCGCCAAACACGAGCACATAATATTATTATTGAGACAGGGCGGTACTCAAACTTCCGAAGGGCTATAACTTTGTCACTTTAATTTTACCAGAAAAATGGTAAAGGAAAAAAACATTTCTTTTGATCAGATCTACTCACTGTTAAAATAAATGACTCAACTTCGAAGTCACCCTGTATATGTATGTACCGCCTAGGGTAAACCAGATGCACTGTACGTACTTCAATATCCCGTTTTGCGGAACAAATGTTGGATTAAACTCTCCGCTAATCCGAATGCAAAGAAATCTTAATACCTATGGTGCATTTTCTGATGTTTTTGTTTGCCAATTCTTAAACTTTAAATACCTATTAAAGAACAGGATGTTGGCTACTTCCTTGTAAACGACGCTACTGTTCTTTAACTTTCTTCTTAGTGTCCTTATTGCTAAGCTGTTTCACATGCATTTATATCGTTTTATAACAGTGCTTGTAACTTGGTATTCTTTGTAAGCTATGTTGTGGATGTCTTTTTTGGAGACTTTCTCTGTTTGACATCCGAAATTCTCTTAAATAAATAAATACTTTATTACTGGGGCTACGTGAGCATAGCAACCAGTGTACTACTGTATCTAGTATTGCATGCAATGGTTGCTTAAGGCTGGATCTTCATCTCAGTTAGCTTCCCGATTCGTTGCGTTTTCCTCCTTAGTCCCTCCTAGTATTGTTCTGGTCATATGTTAAGATTACACTGTACTATAATGCGGAGAAGTACTAACTACACACCTTTAAATATCCGACAGAAAAATCTAGTGTGATAGATTCCATCACTGAATGTGACTAGTTCGAAAACGCAGCAGGTGATACTGGTTTTATTTTAGTTTCTAGTTTTACGGAAAAAATATATGTGGGTACTGGTTCAATGTGAGGTATTACGTAACAGAAAATGGAAAAACTTTTGCTCTGGCAGAATAAATGAAATACATTTTCCGACTAAGCTGCCTTTTCCATTATTAAGTTTGGAAAGTTTCAGAAACCCTGTCGATCAAAATCCTTTCGCAAACGTAGGGTTGAGACGTCATTTTACAACCCAATCGGTTTTACAGTCAATATGACTCCAACTTTTACATTATACCAATACTTTATACAAACTTTGCCAATACGATAAATAAGTGTTGCGCCTAGTCACATATCAATTGACAGATGAGATCATTAATACGCTATCGAGTAACAAACCAAAAACATGTCTTCTTTACAAGGAACGGAAAAATTAGGACTTAGAGACGAAATGCATGATAGTTCTGCAGTGGAGTCAGCTAGTATGCCAGAAATAACTTGGGAAGTATATATTCCGATGTTTAGCCAACACGCCGACATCGCTTGTTGCTACCTGCCCAGGCATTCACGACCCGCTGATCAATATAGGAACACGCCAGAAATAATTTGGGAAGAATATATATCTCGTCGACATGATCACAGTTAACGTCGCTTGTCGCTACCTGCCCAGGCATTTATGACCCCAAATTTGAACGTCGTGACTTACTTAACCTCCCTTAAATCA